AGGAATGTACTTTTACAAGTAGCTTTTCTCCAGTTAATTTAACAGTTTACTTATATGTAGCTTTTTCTTTCCTTGTTAGGTAACAGTTTGACTAGCTTTAGTCATTTTTCCTCCTTCGACACTTGGCTTATATGTAGTGTCTCTTTGAATACATCTTCCACATTATTTTTTTAAAGGTAGCACTGTAGTACTGTCCTCCTGTTGTTCATCGATTTGCTCCAGCGGGGACCAGTAACGGCTCACAACAAATTGTGAGACTTGTTGTTACTGCTTGTTGGCATATCGAAGACCTCTCGGGTAGCTTGCCAGGCTTTGCCTTACGGGTGAGATACTCTCAGTAGCTTGCCAGGCTCTCCGAGAAATGCCCTACTCGCTGTGATATCACTCCGGCCCCCATCTTACACATTCTCATAGCTCATATAAGCATGGACAGGGATGCTGTGTCTGTCGAACAGATGCATATGCCAGCCCCAGGTTCTACTCCTCGTACCACAGGGCCCCCACCCCCATCCCAGCTCTGAGTGCTTGAGAAACTGTGGATGCCCCCGATTCTTTTAGTAGAGCCCATTGATAATCCTTCTAAAGTAAACATGAAGTTGATTTTAGTATATAAGGGTCTGCAGTCCTTTCATCAAAACTTTGAGGTTACGGATGCAGTTAAAAATCTTCATGTTCAACTTAGTAGCTCAGGAGTAACACTAATAAAATGCACGAACATGTTGGAGTCACACATAATCCTCACTAAGGGCGGGATCCTCTGTTGAAAGACTGTGATTTCTACTGTAAGGAGTGTTTGCTCGGAAGTGTGGAAAATAAAAGATGTGGTTTCCGGTGGGTTCAGTCTGGTGTGACTTTGCCGTCCAGTGGCTTGTAGGAGTCTTAGCTGCGACGGAGTTGGGGTTTCGGCTCGTGGAGCTTCATTGCTTCTCTTGTCATCTGCCCCTGTGTCCACTGCTCCGAGCCAGGCTGGACCTCCCTCTCCCGGGCTCTTCTGCCACCATCTCTGCTGCCTGCGCCTTTGCCCCCCACAGCTCTCCTTCACTGCTCAGCTCACCCAAGCTTCTGGTGTTTCCCCTTCTCAGCTGGGAACTCTGTGGGGTGCGGTGGGGTGAGGCTGGGCAGGGCTGGGGCATGGCGCTGCCCAGGCTCCAGGGCCCCTACAGGCCATGCCTAGGAGAGCTGCCTCCTAGGCCTGAGGGGCACTTGTAGATCCTCTTGGAGTCCCTCCACGTCCTCGCATGACGCGTGTCCACCTGACTTCTCAGACGCATGAGTCACTGTTTCTCAGACTCAGATTTCAGCTTTCATTTTAGACTTTTTTCACTTACATGGATTTGACGCTTTCTCTCCTGTTTATTGACCCTCCATGAGTGACCCCAGCATTCCCCTGCATTCAGCGTGCATGTGTACCTTTCGCCGTGTATTTGATTTCCCGGCATCCCACTGGGAGGCCTGGCAGTATTCTGAAGCTCGAGTAGGACACGACTTGTCCAGGGGCTTGAAGTGTTTGTTTTGTCTTTGAAATCACTGATGCTTTGGGGTGCTGGGAATGCAACTCAGTGGTAGAGCACACGCCTTCACATGTGTGACCCTGCCGCAAGGTAGAAATGGGGCAAGTCAAGTGGATTGCTCTTAAAAAAAAAAACAACTTTTTTTTTTTCATGTGGTCTGGTACTTGGTGAAATTGCCGAAATGGAGCCACATGAGATGTGCTGTGCTTCTTTCTGTGTGTGTGTGTGTGTGGTGGAGCGGGGGGAGGGCTCACCCAGCAGTGCTCAGGCCTGACTCTTAGTGAGGTAGGGAGACTATATGGGGTTCCAGGGATCAAACCCAGGTTGGCAAGAGCCCTACTTGCTGTACAGTCGCTCTAGACCCCACCATGCTGATTTATTGTTTTAATGAATCCCCCGTGAGATACAGTTAGACTTTCATAATTATGTTTCAGTTAAACAATGTTCGAGTACCCATCCCTCCACCAGTGCCCATTCTCCACCACCAATGTTCCCAGTATCCCTCCCTCCACCCCCACCTCTTCCCACCCCCTGCCTCTGTGATTTTGAACACACATAGCACAGCGGTAGGGCGTCTGCCTTGCACGCAGCCAACATGGCCGACCCGAGTTCGATTCCTCCACCCCTCTCGGAGAGCCCGGCAAGCTACCGAGAGTATCTCGCCCGCACGGCAGAGCCTGGCAAGCTCCCCGTGACGTATTCGATATGCCAAACACAGTAACAACAAAGTCTCCAATGGAGACGTTACTGGGCCTGCTCGAGCAAATCGACGAACAACGGGAGGGCCTTTTTATTTTATTTATTTTTATTATGGAAAGACTGGGCACCTTGGAGGGTCGGCGCTGGAAGGGCTATCTGGGCAGTGTTGTGTGAATATCACGCCGGCAGTGTTTCAGAGCTTACGCATCTTGCCCCAAACCCCCCTAGCTAGAGAGCGGAGAACCAGCACTCTAATCGACAAGTCCATGTTCTTCATTTATGTTTGCTTTTGGCTCTAAGTTTCAGTTGAATTTTTTCCCCTTAAGCAGAGTTATAATTTTCCTGGCTGGAAGACTTCTGTCCACCTGGTTTCAGCCTATAGAGTAGGAACAATCATTTTTGCTTCTTAATGCCACACTTTGGGGCAGTGGCCGGGGTCCACCCAGCAGTTCTCAGGGCTTACTCCTAGTGGTTGCTGGGGATGAACCCAGGTCAGCCACGAGAAAGGAAAGTGCCCTGTCCACTGTATTACCTCCTGAGCCCCTTGGAAAATTGTTTTTTTTTTTTGTGGGGGGGCGGTGGTGGGGGGGGGGGTGGGGCGGGGCTGTGGTACCTGGAATCACCCAGCGCCTCCCACAAAGAAGCCAAGTGCAGTAGCACTACATCACATTCCTGGCCCTCAGTGTCACTTAGGTCAAAACTATTCCACAGGTTGTGAATGATCAGAAAATGGTTTATAAGGAGAGTTATCTAGTACACGTAGTAATTGGCCAACAGCCGTGCAAGTTAAATGATGCTGTTGGTGTTTAAGGCTTAAACCTTAGTCAGGAGGACCCAGCTGTATTTTATTTCCCGGGCCACACCTCCAGCTGGAAGAGGTGGTTGATGCCACCGTGCATTGCCAGGTGCCAGCTCAGCGTGCTGTCCTCTGGGCTGGGAGATGGCTCCAGGCCCAGAGGGCACCACACAGCCCCCTGAGCACTGCTGTGGGTGCCCCTGCCTCGATTGGCATCGCCAGGTATGACTCAGGAGAAGAAAATATAAAGAAAAGAAATTATGCCTGTCCCTCTTGTCATGAGCTTCCTCACAGTTCTGAGTATTCTGTCTATAAGACCCTGCCCCTAGTCCTGGCAGACTGCCCCTTTCCGGGGTATATTAGTGTCCTTTGCTATCAAAAACTGTCATATCTTTTAGCTTTTGAGTGTGTCTCTTTTTTTTTTCTGCTTTTCTTGATCATACCCAGTGATGCTCAGGGATTACTCCTGGCTCTGCACTCAGGAATTACTCCTGGTGATGCTTGGGGGACCATATGGGATGCTGGGGATCAAACCCGGGTTGGCCATGTGCAAGGCAAATGCCCTATCCACTGTGCTGTCACTCCGGCCCTGAATGTGTCTCTTTCTGTCTTAGACTAAGGTCAGTGGCCTTGAGCAAGGGACTTCATGATCCTGGGCTTCACATGCCTTTTTGAAATATGAAGTGTTGAACAGTGACAGTTCCCGTATTGTCTGAGGTGTTACAGTTTAAGGAAATATTTTATTTTTAAACTAATACTTTGTTTGATGTGGTGAGAGCTAACAGTGCCACAAAATGCTGCTTTTAACAACCACAACAAATTGAAAATCTTGACTTGTGTTCTGGAATGTAAGCCACATTATTATGGGGCTTCTGAGGGGACAAGAAGAATGTAGAGTGTATTTTTACTGTGGTACCGTTTATTCTGTCTTTGTGTGTGAAGCAAGATAGTTTTTTTTTTTGACTTTTTGGGTCACACTCGGCGATGCTCAGGGGTTACTCCTGGCTCTGCACTCAGGAATCACTCCTGGCAGGCTCAGGGGCTCATATGGGATGCTGGGAATCGAACCTGGGTCGGCTGCGTGCAAAGGCAAATGCCCTACCCACTGCGCTATTGCTCCAGCCCCACAAAGTATTTTTTTGGGGGGAGGGGGTCACACTTGGCGATGCACAGGGGTCACTCCTGGCTCTGCACTCAGGAATTACCCCTGGCGGTGCTCAGGGGACCATATAGGATGCTGGGAATCGAACCCGGGTTGGCCGTGTGCAAGGCAAACACCCTACCCTCTGTGCTATTGCTCCAGCCCCAACCCACAAGGTAGTTTTTATTGAATGAAACTGGCTTAGATGTGAGGCCACACTGGACAAGACCTGAACGTGCTGAAAGGAGGTAATGGATGCACATGGAAACCTTTCAGTACCTGTGCTGTAAACCACAATGCTCAGAGGGAGGGAGGGGAGGAGGGGGAGGGGGAAGAGGAGAGAGGGAGAGGGAGGAAGAGAGAGAGAGATCTGCTGTCCTGGTGTGGTGGGAGGGAAACTGGTGACTTTGGTGATTGGTGGTGGGAAATGTACATTGGTGAAGAAATTGATGTTGGAACATTATATGACTGAAATCCAATCCTGAACAACTTTGTAACTGTGTGTCTCATGGTGATTCAATAAAAAGGGGGGGGGAAGGGATATAGATAGATAGATAGATAGATAGATAGATAGATAGATAGATACCAATTTAAAAAAAAAGATGTGAGGGGAGAGAAGGCAAGGAATAGCTGCTCACTGGAGAACACAGGCTGAGAGAGCAAGCCTCTGTCTGTTCTTTAGCTTTTGAGGAGCTAGATACTCTGTTTATGGGCGAAAGATGGGACTCCGGTCGGACATGCCCCCCATTGAATACCTGGGTCTTCTGCCTTGAGATCCTTGGGAGAATATTGTCTGTTTGGTTTGACACCAAAGTCAGTATCCAGTATGACTCTTCATGTTTTCTTGTTTCAGCTTGGATTTACTTTGGGCAACGTGGTCGGAATGTTTCTGGCGCAGAATTATGATGTAAGTGACCATTTCCACATTCTTGTCTTAGTGATTGTTGAAGTAAAGGTGTAACTGTGATCCATAGAGGCACCGAAGTACAGCAGGTGGGGCGTTTATCTGGCATACAGCCGACCTGGGTTCCGTCCCCAGCAACCTACATGGTCCCCTGACCCTTCCAGGAGTAATTCCCGAGCACAGTCAGGAGTAAGCACTGAGTGTCGCTGGGTGTAGCCCCCTCTAAAAAAAATAAATAAAAATAATCCCCCCCCCCCCCCACCACCACCACCAGACTTGGGTCCATAATTCTGAGGGCAAAGCCCTGAATTTTGTGAAAACTTTTCTTTTGTTAGGCCCTGGAGATAGTACAGGGTAAGGCCTTGCATTATATGCCTTGCATGCTGCCAGTGCTGGTTAGGTTTCCACATTCGGTCCCCCAGCACTGTTAATTCCAGAGCACAGAGCCGGGAAATAGTCCCTGTGTGCTGCTGAGTATAGCACAAACCACCTCCCCATCCCCCCAAAGGAAGAGGAATAAGAGCACAAACTGTTCTGTTGGGAAGAGAATGAGCATAGACGCATCTGTCCTCTGTATGACAGGGAGGCAGACACTATTGGTTTTCTGCATCACTAGCCTCAGCTGTGTTGTTATCCTGGAGTAGTATTAAATTTAATTCTGACAGTCTATGGGACATGATATGATAAGTGAGAATTTCTAATTGGACAATGTTTTCAGCCTTCCCCTCACCCTGCCAAGTAGTAGCACTGATTGAGATCATTTCACTGTATAGAATAGCACATTTGTTTATTCATTAAAAAAATTGTTTTGTTGTTTTTTGGGGTTCATGGGCTGGAGTGATAGCACAGCAGGGAGGGCGTTTGCCTTGCACGCAGCCGACCCAGATTCGATTCCTCCGCCCCTCTCGGAGAGCCCGGCAAGCTACCGAGAGTATTCCTCCCGCACGGCAAAGCCAGGCAAGCTCCCCATGACGTATTCTGTATGCCAAACACAGTAACAACAAGTCTCACAATGAAGACGTTACTGGTGCCCGCTCGAGCAAGTTGATGAACAATGGGAGGACAGTGCTACACTGGGATTCATATCGGGCAGTGCTGTTGGCTTACTCCTGGCTCTTGTTTCAGAGAAAAGTTAAAGCTTACACAGCCACTCGGTGTAGAGGAAAGGAAACGCAAGGATGCAAATTAAACTAATCTTATTTTTTTTCCTTTTCCAAGATGCCAAACCTGGCTAAAAAACTTGAAGACATCAAAAGGGACTTGGAAGACAAGAAGAAGCCCCCTCGGTCATGAGGTCCGTCCCTGCACTGTCCTCTGGACCCGCTGACCCGGCCGCTCTGGAGGGCCCCCCTTACGATCTGAACCAAAAGCTTGTGTGTCAACCTCCAGTTTTCGTATTTTCTTCTTTGCTAGACCTCGTGCTGCCTTCGAGCGCAGCGGGGCCATGCGGGTCCCCAGCCACCCCGACCTCGCCAGTGTCTTCATGTCTTCCTGTCCTCCTCCCAGGCCCTCGGGAGTCTCGGACTGGAGTTCTGGTGCTCGATTAGCGAATGTGACCGTTACCAGTGGTTGCTCCCTAGTTCTTGGGATTCTACTACCTTTCTTTTTTCAGAAGAAAAATATCGATGAGCTTTCTGTTGCTGATGATCAGATAGAAGTAATGCGGATTTTAGAGCTTGGCCACTGTAATGGGTGTTGAACCAGTCAGTACTAAATGATGTCATTTCGAAGTAATTAAAATTGATATCTGGAAGCCATTTTTCTGGTGGATGATCCATTTAAATTGTCAGGCCGTTTCCTAATTGCTCAATTAACCAGTAAGTCAATCTGCTGTTCAGGAACTGGGGAATTAAAAAAATACGTTAAAAAACAAATCGTCTTTGTCCTCAGTAAAAATTAGATGTAGTATGCATGCTTTTCCTTGTTGATGAATTTGATCTGGCTCTTTGCCCTCAAAAGGGTTAGATTTGTTAAGGACAAGTGGTGCATTTGCATTACATGGTGATTATACCCTGATTTCTCTGAAGAAAAAGTTCTATGCTTTCTGTACATTTAAATCACACCTTAGAACATCTCAGTGGTTCTCATTAGAAAAGTTTGCTCCAAATATGTAGTGAAATTAGGTCTCAAAAAGGAGATCGGCTTTCTGCTACCATTTATGCTTTATTTTTGTGTAGTTACAAATCACCCTCAGAGGGGGCTGACGTGATGTCCCAGTGGGTGAGGGGCTTGCCTTTCACCCAACCTACGGCATCCCATATGGCCCTCCGAGACCTCCAGGAGTAACTCCTGAGCATAGTCAGGAGTAAGCCCTGAGCTCTCCCAGATGCGGTCCCAAAGCAAAGTCACTTTGTCTCATGCATGTCACCTGTATTTGTTGGTTTGTTTTTGCAGAGCCAGGGATGAATGAACCCAGGGCCTCCCGCATGCTAAGCGAGTGCCCTATTGCTGAGCTAAAACCCTGTCCAATTCATTTTATTTTTCAATTAAAAAAGTTTAAGCACCTCCCTTTTTCCATCTACCTATGGGTCAGGGTTCAAACGTGATGTAGAATGAAGTCTTTCATCACTGCCCTCTGCCCCTGCTCCATCTTCCTAGACGTCCCTGGTTTCCTGTGTACCTGGGTGGGGTGTTCAGTGGATGGGGTTGTGAGTCTCAACTCTGTGCTTGGGATTTTATAGCATTTTATGCGATAAATGTGATGCTTGGGGTTTTATAGCATTTTATGCGATAAATGATATACACAAAATTTAACCCCTCCTTTTTTTTTTTTTTTAAGAGGACCATTCCATGTTAGTATTTAAGGAACTTGAGTGGAGCCGCTCTTATATTTTTGTTGCGTAAGATTCGTTTGGGTGGATATATTATAATTTATTCAATATTCTACTGATAAACTGTTGAGACCGTTTGCTGTCTTTTGCTGTTATACAGCGGCAAGGACGGCATCTAAGACATCTGCTTTAGCTACAAACTCAAGTCCTAGTAGTGTAACTTGAGCTAAGTATGAAGTGCCATTGGTGGGTGGTTTCTTTTAAAGTGCAATTTATAATTTTTTTTTAATTTTTATTAGTGAAACACCATGAGGTACAGTTGTAGACTTACAAATTTTTGTGCTTGGTTTTCAGTTATACAATGATCCAGTACCCATCCCTCCACCAGTGCCCATTCTCCATCATTTACATTTTTTTAAAAAATTTTTGTTAGTGAAACACGATGAGGTAGATTTACAAATTTTTGTGTTTGGGTTTCACTTGTACAATGATCAAACACCCATCCCTCCACCAGTGCCCACTTTCCAATACCGCGGGTCCCAGTATCCCTCCCACCCCCCATCCCCCATCCCACCCTGCCTCTGTGGCAGGGTATTTCCTTTTGTTCTCTCTCTCCTTTTGGGTGTTGTGGTTTGCAAAAGAGGCATTGAGTGGCAATCATGTTTGTGCATTTTAGTTAACTTCACTGAAGACACTTTAGCAGAGACCATCTGCAGGAATTTTTCTGCTTCTTTTTGAAGACACGGAGCTCTTGTTCAAGGAGATAGTTTTGTCCTAAGGAGAGAATGCTGAGGATAAAACTTCAGTCTGTTTTCCCAGCAGTGTGACTTAGGCAAGCAGCATCTTGCTTTTTGAGCTGTTGTGTGCTCTGTAAGACATGGAGACCATCCGTACCTCACTGGTCTCCCATGAGAAACAGTTGAGCTAACGTAAGTGGTGTGACACTCTGTGGTTTGAAAAGTGATCAATAAACTGGAGAAATTAGTCCAGATGTACCACTTGGGGTCAATACTTGGTTTTCCTGCATTTGCTGTTAGCACCAGTTCATAAACTGTGCAAATGTGTCATTCTGTGGTCTCGCTCTGCATTGTTGATGAAAATCTACATGCCCCCCCCTTGGTAATAATTACAGGGCACAGGTTTTTTTTTGGGGGGGGCGGAGTCACACCCAGCAATGCACAGGGGTTACTCCTGGCTCTGCACTCAGGAATTACTCCTTGCCGTGCTCGGTGGATGATATGGGAAGCTGGGGATCAAACCCGGGTTGGCCACATGCAAGGCAAACGCCCTACCTGCTGTACTATTGTTCCAGGCCTACAGGTTTGTTGTTAAGTAACTGAATTATTAGAAGAATGTAATTACAGCCTCAAGGAGTAAAAGGTTTATCATCCTTGAGAGTATGCAAAAAATTACCCTCAAGGGGACTGGAGCTATGTTACATTGGGTATAGTGCTTGTTTTTGCACAAGATCCAGTAAGTAGTGAATTTACAGTGGTAAAACAGTTCCCAAAGTGGAATTCCTTATCACCAGCTAGGTTAGCATTATTTGTTGGTCTCTCAGAACTGCAGTTTTAGGGCTGTAGATCTCTTAGCTCTCTGGTGTCTAGGTGATATGTTGGGATGAAACTCATGGGTTTAGGGCTTCACTCCCTTGGGAGAGGCAGTAACCTTGCATGTAGGATCTTTGTTACCAGTGCAAACTTCCAGCTCTGGCGTTCACTGATGTTGCCTCGTCAGTTGCTCAGGAGTTCACTGAATAGTGCAGACTGACTTAGCTGTCACCCTTGAGATGCTTTTGTGAATCTCTGTTCTTGGTGCAGTGAAAAGGGGCTGAAAGAATCGTCAGGCTAGATTCTCCTCTCTAAGGGGTGTCTTGAAGCCCAGAGCCATCCGTGCCCTTGGGATGTAGTTGCAATTTGTTGTGGCTTTGGGCTTGCGGCGATTGTGGTACTGAAAGTTTTGGTACCTGGATGTGTTGTTGGGCTTTTGCCTCCGATGAATTTGGGATGGAACGAGCCAGAGCAAGCCGTTCTGCCTTCTCCCTTCTAAAGATGCTTGATAACTCCTATCAATGGGATTTTAGAGAGCGTTTTGCCATGCCTACGCACTCAGGATTACTCAAAATGCTACTAAAAGTTATATGTGGAAGAAAAAAAAGACCTCAGCTGATGCTGGGAAGTTAATAAATACATTGAACTTGAAAATACAGGGGGAGACCAACAGAACCTAATTTACCCTGGTCAGAAGAGCTGTTTGATGAGTTGAAGCTACCAATTGATGTCTTTGACCTTTTCTTCTGATTTTGTGTTCGATCTATGTGGTTCTTGTTTTTGCTTTATTACAACCATGTACAGTTGACCTTTGAATTGTCCCTTGAACAGCAGGAGTGTGAATTAAAAATTTCTTGCAAATAGCGTAAACTTACTGTATTGATACCAGAGTACAGTACTGTACGTGGTGTCTCCCCCTTTCTTGGGTTGGTTTGGGGCTCCCCTGCTTGACAGTGCTCAGGGCCTGCCAAGAGATCACTCCTGCTGTTGTGGCAGGACTTGAACCCAGGTCTCCTGCACGCACAGCACACGCTCAGCCCACTGAGCTCCCTCCTCAGCCCCTTCATTTCCTCAGTAACTTTCCCCTCATAGCTTACTTTACCATGTATGGAGTGTGACCTCCAAGATATGTGCTGGTCCATTTCCCCTCATCAGTAGGGTAGCTGGGAAATAGCCGGCCAGTGGCTACATTTCAGGGAAGCTGGAATTCAGGAGTGCGTTTCTGACTGGGGAGGATGGGGAGGCCAGTGCCCCGGCGCCCTCCTCGATGGACCGTGATTTCCTCTTGCTGAACATACTCCGTTTTCGTTTGTGTGAAACTAAGGCGAGTTCCCGGTGTTTTCCCGTTCCTGTTGGCTTTTTGCATGCAGAGCGCTCACAGCGTTTGTGTGGTGTTTTTTTCATCTTCCTTCGACCACTGCCTGCCTAGAGACTGCCCGTTCTGCTCTCCTGCTGAGGGAATCTCCACATGCCCAGTGCTTGCTCTTACTCCTCCCGAAGGACCTTTGTCCTGCACCAGAGCAAGTAAAGCTTCCCATCTTGGTCTTCACGGGAGGCATTTCCATTCCTTACACAGAGGAATGAAGGAGTGTTTGGTTGTTTTTTTTTTTTTTTAACCCGCTTTCTGACTCCTCAGACCTTGTGCAAAGGATCTAACTGGGTAAAGATAAAACAAATGTTTTGAGCATTTGCCTGCCCTTTGTAGGGAGTTTGTGACATGCGGCTTTGTCAAGTGTTTGTTTTCGAACCTACCCAAGCCTGGATGCAATGTGTTTGATCAAGTATCGAGGAACTTGTAGATGCATATATTCTGTTTTTTTTTTGGGGGGGGGGGGTGGGTCACACCCAGCGATGCTCAGAGGTAACTCTTGGTTCCACACTCAGGAATTACCCCAGGCAGGGTTCAGGGGACCACGTGGGATTTGCTGGGGACTGCACCCCCGTCAGCCGCGTGCAAGGCAGACGCATCTCTCCAGCCCTCATGCATGCTTCCCAAGGGTCTGGGAAGGTAAGAGCAGGGTGGTGAGGTTTTGTGGGAAGCGCATGGGCTGGGGCATCATAGAACCTGGCTGAGTCGCTGCCTCTGGGGTCGGCCCGGAGGGAAGGGGCCGCGTGCACTCATCCTTCTGGCCTCAGGGGTTACTCCTGGCTCTGCACTCAGGAATTACTCCTGGCAGTGCTCGAGGGACCATATGGGATGCTGGGGATCGAACCCGGATTGGCCACGTGCAAGGCAAACGCCCTCCCCGCTGTACTGTTGCTCCAGCCCAGCCTGCTGCCTTTTGTTCTTGTGACCGGACTTCGCCATGACTTGTGGTTCTATCTTCAGGAGGACTTGTCAGCCTGGGCCCTCTCAGTCAAACTAGTCTCTTCTGACATTATATGGGAAGCTAGTCTGTGTCATTAATGCTAATGTAAAAGACCAGAGGATCTTTTATGGTAGTTTAAAGCAATTTCAAAGTTAACCTTAATTTTGATATATATAGTTGATCCCCAGTATCTGAGGGGTTTGGCTCTAGAAACTTCCTGCAGATACCAGAACCCACAGGTATTCGGGTCCCTGGTGGTCTACTGGAAATCCTCTGATTCCTTAGGAGACCTGTCATAACAAAAAGGCAGTGTGTGGTTCAGAGGCAGGTGACAAGAAAAATCTGTGCAGGTTCAGTGGTGACACAACCGCCATATGCCTGACTACCTAGCTGGTGACGTTCAGTCCACAGAGGGTCGAGTCTGAGGGTGTGAGGACCTGCTCGGTTTACTGAGAATGAGATGCTGTTCCTCTTTGTGATTGAGTTTCTCAGTTCGTCACCTAGAAAGAAGCTGGTGTAAAAGACGACTGTTTTTTCAGTGTTGTGTATTAGAAGAGAAAAGCATATAGCGTGTTTGTTAGAAGATAAAAAACTAGTGGTGTGGTGTAAGGAAAGTCAGGTTTGCAAGAAGCGACTACTAAGAGTGTTAATTAGCCCAACAGCAGAGAGATTTCCCGGTGACAAGGATTTGTCTTCACTCTATCATTAGAACAAGCAGCCTTTTGGGCCAGATCTCTGGGTTGTGGGAACGGCAGTCTTGGGGTCTTTCTAAAGTGGTGGGCTGAGTTCCTGGCATCATCCCAGCCGCTTCTGAAGTAGCTGGGCAGTGGCCAGTAATTCGGAGTCGGCTATATTCAAAGGCAGCTTTTCTGTCTTCTGCCTTTAGAATCTTGTGGATTAAATGTGCCTTCATCTTCACAGGCCTCACGTAAGAGGCATCATAGTGTGGCTCCTTTTTTTTCGCTTTTTGGGTCACACCCTACAATGCTCAGGGGTTACTCCTGGCTCGTACACTCAGGAATCACTCCTGGCGGTGCTCGAGGGACCATGTGGGATGTGGGATGCTGGGAATCGAACCTGGGTCAGCCGTGTGCAAGGCAAATGCTCTACCCGCTGTGCTGTCGCTCCAGCCCCGGCGTGGTTCCTTTGAGGATTCAGCTCTCCTGGCATGAGGAGGAGGGTAAGACCCTGAGTAAAGGTAGAGACACTCTAGTAGACCGGGTGCACAGTACCTCTGCTCAGCCCTTTGGACTCCTCAGATCTGTACCATCACGGAAGCTAAATAATTTGACCAAAGCAAAGTGACGGGACAGACACAATCATATTCCTGGCCGGTCACATGCGATGGTCCAAACAGGCACGGCACACAGGTAACTTGCTTAGTAAAATAAGGAAGTGGTAGAGTATTGGGGGAACAGTAGTGCCGTTAGCAGTAACTAAAACTCCATCCTGGCTATTCCCTGGGGTAGCAAGCAGCTGATGGTAGCAGAACCACACCATGGGTACGTACGAATGGGGGGCTGTGAGCTGTATCCAGTCTCGAACCCAGAACGTAGGTCCAGGCATGATCTGGAGGAAGGAGGCCTTGATTTCTATAGTAACTATGTCAAGGAAACATTTATTAAGCAGTTCCAGTTCATATGGTACATGTCACTGGGACCTTTCAGACACACTCAAGCCGTCGCCCTCCTCTCCTGTTGGCTTATCAGAAGGACACAAGTGGTTGGATGTGTGTAATGGACCAGTATCTCGACTCCTCAGGAACACACAGTCCGTCCAGGAGAAGGGCAGTCCGGTGTCATTAGCTGTGTGCCGTGGCCCTCCCTACTCCCACAGGGATGAGAGTTTCCTGTCGCTCCCCAGACTTAGCCAAACAGTGGAGGAGAGGAGAAATGCCAATCCCAGTGGGTCATCTCGCTCTACTTTCGTTTCATTGACAGCCGCCCTGGCCTTTTTTTTTTTCTAAAGGGGAGCACTGTGTCTGCACAGAAACGGGGCCGAGGTCAAGGGAAGCTATTGAAGAGCGAGGCTGAAAACGGAGCCGGAGTCCTGATAAAAGAGGCTCAAGTGCCACGAGGCGGACTTCTAAGAAATGCCCTTTATTTGTGGGGGGAGAGAACCTAAGAAACACTTCAGAGAAAAGCGCCTGGGTGCCGTCCCCCACCACCGCCCCAGAGCGGGGGCTCGGCAGCTTTCACTGCACGGAGCCTGGAGGGTTTGGGTTTCTCCTTCTGCCCCGATGCAGTTTGAAGAGCTCAGCCCTGCCAACCCAGGACAGGCTCGTCATTCGATCGGCAGGGCAGCTGAGGTCTCCCGACAGGGAGATACAGGGAGGTGGGCAGAACTGACGTTTCCTGGAGCTCTGGGGCGGAACGAGGGGGCGCAGGGAAAACACAGCCCAGCATGGGGCGTGGGTGTTCGGAGGTTTCCTACACTTGAAGGGGGGCGGTGGTGGGATCTTTGGGGCCCCTGGTGGGGGGGAGGGTGGCGGCTGTAGGCTGGCAACTTCGCCCTTAGCGTCAGGCCTGGTCAGTGAGGTTGCTGACCTTTGCCCAGGCTGGGAAGGTGTCCAGGTGGAAGAGGCTCACTCCCCATGTGTTGATGGCCACCGTCACGATCACCAGGCCGATGACGTTGACACCCAGGCCAGCTTTCACCTGCAGGACGCAAAAGCCAGCACCACCTGTCACTCCAGCAGGCAGCAGCCTGGGACCCCCCCCCCCCAAGACTCCCCATCCAGGGCTCAGCACCCCCTTGGCCCGTCTGAGCTGTGACCTGCTGTGCCTGTCGCTATGTGGGGGAAGGGCGGGCCTCGGATTTCTCAGCACCTGAGCCCTCTCCTGCTCTTGTGGGGGGTCTGGGAGGAGAGCCCACAGCCCACCGGCTCTGGAATGTTAAGAGCTGTGCTAAAATAAGGTTCCTGATAGGCAGATATGCTACAGACTAAGCGGGGCCCTCTGATGCAGGAGCGGCTCCCGGCCTTCCTGGACTGACCCATGGGGACCCCCAGGGGGGGCAGCGTCTGCCACTGTGGAGTGGCTCCCAGGGGTCCCGGCTCTTGGCACTCCCGGGACAGCTGCCCCCACCAAGGTGGTGGCTTGGGCCCGTTGGCCTGGCTTTGGGTCCAGGGGAAGACACACAGGTTGAGCAGGGGTGCTGGCGACGGGGTGACAGCCAGGACCAGATGGCACAGTGTCCAGTGGGGACAGATGGTTGGCATCCTGCCAGGGAGAGGTCGAGAACGCAGCCCAGAGCCACAGGTCTACTAAAGAGCTACGTCGGAAAAGTCACAGGGGAAGGCCAAGCGCTCGGAAACCCTCTCAAGAAATGACGACGCCTCTTCTGGAGGAGATGAATAAAGATGGTTTTGAATGCGAGGGGTTAGGGGGCCCCTGGGCCTCCAGCAGTGGGTGATCCCAAAGGCTCACACAAGTGCCAGGCTGGGCCACGCTTGATCATGGGACTGTGGGCCGGAGGCTGAGTCCCTGCTAGCAGGGCCACAACAGCAGAGGGTTGGGGCATGGCTGAAGGTCAGAGTGGATAGAGGAAGCCCTCCCCCTTTTCCTGAAGCCCTGCAGGTGATTCGGATGAAGAGTTTGATCTTACAGGGGTATGCCGGATTGAGTTGGAACGCACGTGGAAAGTCTCCTTTAGACCCTCAGCAAAACAGAGTGGGCCCTGCTTCAGACTGTCCACCCAGGACCATTGAGAAGTGGAGGCAGAGTTTCATGCTTGCTGAACCTTCTGGAACAGGGCCACCTCCTCTGTCTGCCCCACCTGTCTTTGTCCATGGGAACACACTTACTCCAGATGGGGGTCGAGAGGCCAGATGTTAGGGAGGGCATGTTGCTAAGCCTTTCACCAGGACCGCGCCTACCGCCTGAGTACCTCACTGAGTACCGACCCACCCACCAGCGAGACAGCCACAAGGCAGAAGAGTTGAAGGAAAGCTGTGGATCGTGTCGTCCCCGCACTGACTGCCCGTGACCCCCCCACCTACACACTCTCTCTCTCTCTCTCTCTCTCTCTCTCTCTCTCCACTCACCATGTCTTTGATCTGGCAGTGCCCATAGCTGAAGACGATGGCGTTGGGAGGGTTACCCACGGGCAGCATCACCGCGAAGGAGATGCACATGGTGACGGGGATGAGGGTATAGAGAGGGTTGATGTGCAGAGTTTCCGACTGGAAGAGAGAATGCACGGGGGTGCTGGGGCGGGCGGCACACCCGCCTGGCCTGTGCACGCAGCCTCGTTGTGTGTGTGAGCGATGCCCAGCACCGCTGGAAACCACATGCCGGCAGTTACATCATCACCCTGCAGGGCGGGCAGTGGTGGCCGACCCAGAAGGGTGCCCAGCACCAGCTCCCTCCGGGGACCCCAGACTGTGAGGGGCCACCAAGGAGTTGCCATTTCTTGGTCTAAGGAAGCAGCTCTAAAGTTTTATCCCTTCATGGGAAACATTTTATTTTAGTTTTGCTTTTTGGGTCATACCCGGTGATGCACAGGGGTTACTCCTGGCTGTGCACTCAGGAATTACTCCTGGCTGTGCACTCAGGAATTATTCCTGGCGGTGCTCGGGGACCATATAGGATGCTGGGATTCGAACCTGGGTTGGCCACATACAAGGCAAATGCCCTACCCACTGTACTATTGCTCCAGCCCTGTGGGAAACATTTTAAACACAGATCTCATGAATATCCTGCTTTGGTCAAATGAAGATCCCACCCCTAGGGGCGGGGGTGTGTGCAGAAGTAAACACTTTTTTTTTTTTTTAACTTTTTGGGTTATAGCCAGTAGTGCTCAGGGCTTACTCCTGGCACTCAGGAATTACTCCTGGCAGTGCTCGGGGCACTGTATGGGATACCAAGGATCGAACCCGGGTTGGCCACATTCAAGGCAAAATGCCCTACCTGCTGTGCCATCACTCCAGCCCCCGGAAGTAAAGTTTTCTTCAAGAAAAGATACGTGGGATTTGATATGGTCAGGGTCTCTTAGGGTTTTCTGTTCTTTGAGCCACACCTGGCTGTGCTCAGGGCTTAATCCTTGCTCAGTGCTCAGGGCACCAGAGGGAACCAGTGTTGGTAGCAAGGATCAGACTAGGGTTGGCTATGTGTATGGCTGGTGCCATTACCCACTGGCACCCTGTCTCCTGCCCGACAGGATGAGGTTCTAATTAAGGACACTCCCATGCTCGCCCCAGTAAGCCAGACGGCAGTCCCCGGCCCCCAAACTGTCGCCCCAGGCCTGCTTGTTTCTGGGGTGCTCAAACCCCTGCAGAGCAAAGGTGCCCGCAACACTCACCAGGCTGCACAGGATGGGCAGGAAGATGGTGATGGTGGCCGGGTTGCTCACAAACTCCGTGACGATGGACACCAGGATGCAGGCGAGCAGGGTGACGGCCCAGGGCGGGAGACTGCTCAGGGACAACATCTGGTGGCCGATCCAGGTGGACAGGCCCGAGCTCTGGAGGCAGAGAAGGATCGAACCCGAGTCAGAGGAAAGGAGGGAAAGTCCCTTTGGCGAGCCACCCCCCCCCCCCCGCCCCGTGGAGTTCAGAAGTGGAGGGAAGCGGATGGGGTTGGAAGGGACGCCCAGGGCGCATCCCTTGGCCCCTGTAGCCGTCCTGAGTTGAAGGATGAGTGAGATCATCTGTGTAGCCCAGGACAGTCTTCAGCACTGTGCCACATTCCGCGGGGCCCCTACCCAACTGTCACCATCCTCGTGAAGACTTTGTCACTAGGGCTTGAAGATCTTTGGGGTTAACCAGCCCCTCCACTTCAATCTGGTAACTTCCTCCCCGTCCTCTCTCCCCACACACACACTTTCTCTCTCTCCATCCAATTAATAGCTACAAACCCCCAGCTGTGATCCTTAGTTCTATTCTTTTTTTTTTTTGCTTTTGGGTCACACCCAGAGATGCTCAGGGGTTACTCCTGGCTCTGCACTCTGGAATTACTCCTGGCAGTGCTTGAGGGACCATATGGTATGCTGGGAATCGAATCCAGGTCGGTCCGCCACATGCAAGGCAAATGCCCTACCCACTGTACTGTCGCTCTGGGCCTTTATGGACAGTTGTCCTAAGGCCACATTCGAGTCCTGGCAGGAGCCAGCCACAGAAGCTGACAAACCTGTTGGTGGGCGTGTGGGCCCACGAGGGAGGCTCGACCATGTGTCATTCACATCTGACTGCAGGACCCGCTGAGGAGGACACGGAAGGGCAGAGTGTCCTGGCTCCTTCCTTTCCTCCCAGGGACTTAGCTGGACAGTCGCCCCTCCTCTAGCACCTCTGAATGCCTCCAGGGAAGGAAGCCTGGGGTGTGCTCGGCCCAGGCAGGACAGAATTCCTCTTACCTTGCTGCCGGAAGCCAGCGCGTAGCCTCCCCCGACCAGGATGACGATCTCCCAGGGCATGGTCCTCTGGAAGTCCTTCCACGTGATGATGGGCTCCATCCCCAGCGAGGACTCTGGGCTCTCCCCTGAGTTCCGGGAGACAGGCAGGGAAAGCGGGGTGAGCCCCCCAGGGTGGGATCACAGGGGTTAGGCTGATCTGCCACAGAGGAATCGGGGTCAACTCTGTTCCCTGGTGCTGGGGTCAAGCTGGACAGGAGGGCCTGGGCAGGATTTCCTCCTGGAAATTCTTCTGGACTCGAACCTGGGGGGATTCCTGCCCCCCTCCCCACCAGTCTCTTACCCCTGAATGTCACTCACCTTCGTTCTTTTTCCCAAAGCAGGGCTTCTTGGCGGGGATGAGAAAGAGGAGGAAGCCAAGGAAGATGGAGACTGTAGCGTCCGTGCGGTAGCCTTTCCTAGCCAAGAGATAGCGGGGCTAGAGGAAGGGGCTGGGAAGCCCAGGGGGGCTCGGCTCTCGGCAGAGTCTGTACAACCTGAGGTCTCTGCTCAGCCACTGTGTCGGGGGCAACAGCAGCCTCTGCTCCAGTGGCTGGCACTGGGCCAGGGTGGACCAGAGTCTGGTGCACAGGCCCATGACAAGGAGTGAGGGGGAGATGCCTCCTGGCAGGGCACCAGGCAGGAGTCTCCTTTCTCAGGAGAGGGCCTTGCTGGGGGAGCTGGCGATGTGTGTGCATGTGTGTGAGTGCATATGTGAGTATGTGTGTGTGTCCTGTGTGCGTGCATGTGGGTGTTTGTGAGAATCTGTGTAAGTGTGTGAGTACGTGTGTGTATGAGTGCATATGTGTGCATGTGTGTGTGTGACCTCGGCCCCAGTGTGTGTGTTTGAGTGTGTGTGCATGTGCGTGTGTGAGTGTGTATCTGTATGTGTGTGTGCGCGCATGCATGTATGAGTGTGTGTGTGTATGCATGTGTGCATGTGTGTGTGTGCATGCATGCACGTGACCTTGGCTACAGTGTGTGTGTATGTGCGCACATGCATGTATGAGTGTGTGTATACATGTATGAGTGTGTATAAGTGTGTGTGTGCACGTGTGCGTGCGTGCGTGCGTGTGTGTGTGTGTGTGTGTGTGTGTGTGTGTGTGAGACCTCGGCCCCAGTGGGGATATGCAGGACTCAGACACTTTCTAATAGGCATTGTACTTCTGGGGCCCTCTCCTGGGCGGAAGCAAACATGGCCAAGGGCCAGCGTGTGGAAAGTGGCGACACCAGCTCTCCATGCCACTCTGCCGCCCCTCTGCAAGCCAAGTGCTTCCCGGGTACCTGCGTGCACCTGAGTCTGGGCAGAGTTTGGGTTGGCCCTGAGCCGGGGAGCCCTCGGTCACTCACTTTTCGAAGAGCGAGTCCCAGCCGGGGACGAAGCCAGGCTCCCGGGTGAACCACAGCACGGTCATCAACACGAAGAAGAATCCGGTCACCATCTCAGGGTAGCTGGGGAAAAGAGAGGGGTCGCACCGGTAACTTCCTGCTCAGCAAGGGGGCTCCCCGCCTGGCACTGTGGTGGGGGGGTGTTTCTGCCCGCTGGAGAGGGTGGCTGGGAGATGGGGGGAACCCCAGGTGCAGGGTCCCGCGGGGATGCGTTCAGCCCTCTGGGCTGTCTCTGTGTCCACCTGGGTGCTGCTCTTTAAGGAAGTGCTTAACGACTAGAATTCATTCATTCATTCATCATCCTGTTATTCGTCAATTGCCTCGAGCAGGCCCCAGTAATGTCTCTTTCATCCTAGCCCTGAGATTATATTCAAGGCTCTTTAGGAGAATGAGACCCATCATTGTTACTGGTATTTGGCATATTTGGTACACCACGGGGAGTTTGCCAGACTCTGCCCTGTGGGCAGGCTACATTCGATAGCCTGCAAGTTTGTCCAAAGTAGGAATGAGATAATAAGATGTCATAAAAAGATGTCCTGATAAGATTCCGGGAGCTGGATTTTATAACGACTAGAATAATTTTTCATAAATCTTGGCCTTTTAGAAGTTTTGGTTGGGTGGGGGGCAACATCCGGAGGTGTTCAGGCCCTACTCCTGGCTCTGTGCTTGGGGAACACTCCTGGTGGTGCTTGGGGGACAATATGAGGTGCTTGGGATCGAACCCCGGGCAGCTGCGAGCAGGGCAAGCACTCTCCCCACTGGACTATCTCTCCGACCCTGCACCTCTGTTATTGTGGAAGTGGCCTGCAAGGCAGGCAGCACTCCCTCCAACATGCGGGGGGCCGGGATGCATCTGGAAATCCCACCATTCCTTGCAGCCATGAAAATAACCAGAAACGCACAGGGAAACGAGAGAGAGAGAGAGAGAGAGAGAGAGAGAGAGAGAGAGAAAGAGATTGTCAAATGGGGTGGGAAATGTCCACCGGTGGAGGGACAGTGTTGGAACATTGTATGACTGAAACCCAATCATCCACAACCTTGTCACTGTGTATTTCACTGTGACTGTGATTCCATTTAAAAAATAAATTAAATGAAAGAAGTTATCATTTAAAGATGGAAGCAACCTGCCTATCAGTGACACCCAAACACCGACGACATGTGAGTGTTACTCCATGTTGTTGGCACCCTGGAGTGGCCGGAGCCAGGGGTGCCCTAATGCCAGGTGCACAAAGACCTGACGTGTCCTTTGGTTCAGCAGGGACTGGTTCAATTTTACAAGAATGCAATTAAAAAAAAGCGATTTTATGCTAAAAAAGCATAAAGGAAGCTACATAACCCTGAGATGCTAATCAGTGATGAAATCACTTGAATTATATTTTTCTGGTTTTCTTTTTCGTGGGGGGGCAGGGTTGGGTCACTCCAGTGGTGCTGGTTTTATTGCTGGCTCTGTGCTCAGGAGTGACCCCTGGTGGTGGTACTCAGGTGCGGGGGGCTGGAACCCAGGTCTACTGCAAGAATCTATTTTCCTGTATTTCCCACAAGGAACAGCTATTTTTTTTTTGGGGGTCACACCCAGCCATGCTCAGGGGTTATTCCTGGCTCTGTACTCAGGAATTACTCCTGGAGGTGCTTGGGGGACCATATGGGATGCTGGGAATTGAACCCAGGTCGGCCATGTGCAAGGCAAACGCCCTACCTGCTATGCTATCGCTCCAGCCCCAGGAACAGCTATTTCTTTAATAAACATCTGGAGCAGCTTTAGGACTTGAATTCGAACTTCCACCATTCTTTCAAAACCTGTAGCTTAGACCTGAAACCTAATCCAATGTCGCACATGTCAGTTGCCATAGAAATGGCACTAAATGGCCCCTGGACTGCGGGGTGTTGAGGGTCATTGAAAGAATTCTCCTGTTTTACCAAGCTGTGGTGAGCATTGCCTGCTGTCCCATACTCAGAGCAAACTCCCAGTGCCCGGAGAGTATCCACTCCCTGAGCATTGGTGTGGGGGGAGCGACCTCCTGACCACTATGTGAGGAGCAATCCATCTGAGCACAGTGGGGAGCCACCCCCTCTCAGAGCACTTTATGGGGAGGAGTCCATCTGAGCACTGTGGTGGGAGCAGATCCACCTGAGCACTGTGGGGGTTACTGACTTCGTGGAGAGAGAGAGGGCAGTAAGTCTGTCCTCTTCCCACCCACCTCCTAGACTTCACCCCACACCTCAGTGAGTCCCTGGGCAGAACAGTGGGTGCCTGCGGGCTGGATTGGCAGTAACAACACCTCTGAATGTGTGTGTTCATCCTTGTGGGGACTTGCCTGGTTCCGGGGCCTCGGAACATGGCTGGCTTGTGACCCCTGAGCCAGTGGGCGGCTGGGACCGCATCCTACCTGACATCCCCCAGCTTCTCGTATTCCTCTTGGATCCTCTTCTCGGACACCTCTTCCCTCTTGGTCTTCTTCTTTTTGCTCAGGGAACAGGTCTCCCTAAAACTGCAGAGGAGCACAGGGAGAAAGACGCAGATGAAACCGTAAGCAGCTACTTCCCTGAGCTCTCCTGTGCCCTCCACTCCCATCTCTCCTCTGGGGCCACCCGCCAGGTCACAGCCCCTGCCTGTACCCTGGCATTGAGGGCATGTCTGTCTCGTGCATCTCTGTCTGTTAGTGTGAGAGCTCGTGATCTGGGCAGGCATCGGTAGGCAGTTGTTTCCACACACGTGTCTCTTAGAGTGAGGCGGGGGTGAGGGTGGAGGTGTCTACGTTCTTCTTTATTTGAGTGCCACTCACACGCCCAGGTGTGTGTGTTTATGGTCAGAGGGGAGAGTGGGCTTTGCTCCCCACTAGCACCACGGAAGGTGCAGAAGCAAACAGCGAACACTGGTTTGACAACAGTCTCTTAGGAGGAATATGTCAAAAGCTCAGGGGCTAATCCCTGGCCCATATGAGCGTTGGGTTCCTCGGACAATAGCATCACACCCTCTCTATCTTCCCTTTATATGGTGGAACTGATCAAACTTGGCGTAGAGATAGTTATGTAGAGAAGGCTGGCTCAGTCCGTTAATATCCCGAATCATTGCAAGAGATACAACATTGTTCCATTGAGGAATATGAGCATTTTCCAGACAGCTGCTGAGGATGGATCCCTTGGGTCTAGAAAATGAAGTCTGTGCTGGAAACTTGCCTTGCCTGCGGCTGACCCAGGTTTTGTTTGTTTGTTTTCTTTTGGGACCACACCCAGTTGTGCTTAGGGCTTACTCCTGGTGCTACACTCAGAGATCATTCCTGGAGGGCTTGGGAGGCCATTTGGGGGATTGGAGATCCAACCCGGGTCAGCCCAGTGCAAGGCCAGCGCACCTCACCCGCTGTATGATCACTCTGGCCAGGAGCTGCACCAGGCTGGTCCCTGGTACCCCATGTGGTTCATCAAGCACCTCCAAGAGTGATCCCTGAGCACAGAGCCAGGAGGATGCACAGCTGGGTGTGGCAATAAAATGAAGTCTTAATGCAAATTCTACTTGAATCTTATTTCTTTAGAACATAGTTAAAAGGACCCTTCAGACCTTGAGAGCAGGGAAACAGCACCTCTGGTGTAGACTGTATAACTCTGGTTTGTTTTGTTTGGGCTTGAATTTGGGGCAGCACCTGGCAATGCTCAGGGCTTGCTCCTTACTCTGGACTCAGGGATCATTCCTGGCAGTGTTCAGGGGACCATTTGGGAATGCTAGGGATTGAACCAGGGTTGGCGGCATGCAAGGCAAATGCCTTCAGCCCTGGACTATCTCTCTGGCCCCAGTTTTTTAAACTTGATAAACAAGTACTCTGAGCAGCACGTTGGAACAAAGGGAGCTTTGCAGGGAGCTTCTGGTAAAGCGCAGGGTACTGTGTTTGGAGCGTCGAGGCCAGGCGTTGCCTGACCATGTCCAGCCTGCTGCTCTCTCCCAGGACCTCCTGCTGCTTCCTCTGCAGTTCCCATCGCCTTGGCCCAGATGGACGGGGAGCCCCTGTGCAGCACGGGCCCGGCCCCCAGACTCACTTGCAGCCCAGGAAAAGCCAGTGCATCCAGAACCAGCTGACCACCAGCATGATGAGGGAGATGGGGAAACTGAAGAGGAACCACGTGCCAAAATTGACCACCTCGGCGGCTGGGTACTGGCTGTGAGGGAGAGAAGCAGGGCTGCGGTTAGAGAAGGGCTTTCTGGCGGCCCAGAGGTGGAAAGGCCAAATGCTCCTTCAGAACTGAGCCTTCTTACAGTGTGGGCCGGAGCCATAACACAGCGGGGAGGGCGCTTGCCTTGCACGCTGCTGACCCGGATTCAATCCTCAGCATCCCAGATGGTCCCTTGAGCACGCCAGGAGTGATCCCTGAGCACAGAGCCAAGAGTAAGCCCTGAGTACTGCTGGGTGTGGGATGTGTGCCCTCTGTCCCCCCCCCCCCCCGCCAGAAAAAGGAACTAAGGATGCAGATTGTGATAATATTGGATTGTGTGTGTGTGTGTGTGTGTGAGTCACACCAGGAAATGTTCAGGGTCTCTGCACTAAGGAATCACTCCTGGCTCGGGGGACCATATGGGATGCTGGGGCTCGCACCCCGACCGGCCACGTGCAAGGCAAATGCTTTACTCGCTGTGCTATTGCTCCAGCCCCACACGATCATATTGTAAGAGGGGACCCAGAAGTCACTTGTTTCACAGCTGTGAAGTGTGAAGAGTCCAGCCAGGCAGCAGGAAGTAGACTAAGAAGGGCCCTTAGAACCCAGCGAGTGAACTTCTGGGCATATAACTCAAGACGTGGATTTATAACTATGCACATGCATGCTCGCTGCTACGCCCTGTGTGAGAGCCAGGCCCGAGTGTCCGGCAAGCGGTGGATGGAGAAAGAGGCTGCCTGGAGTGTCTCTGCAGTGGAGTATGATTCAGCCATGAGGAACAAGATGAAATCTTGCCTTTTTCTATGATGCGGATACCAACCCTTTGCGGGCACTGCATGAATACCCTTGTGGCTGCTGGCAACACTGCACCCCAGTGCATAGGAGCACCCCTGGCCAGCGTGTGGGTCATCTCCATGGCAAGAGCAGTGCCAGTCCACAGAGCCCCTTGGCTAAGTGTGTGGGGCCACAATCTGCTGTTGGAGCCGCAGCCAGCAGCACAACACGGTCAAGCTCACGTCTGGTCCCAGGGCACCCAGACAGATGACCCTTGCCAAAGGCAGGGAAAGACGCAGGTCCGAAGGGTTTGAGCAGTCACAGCCGAGATTGCCACTGGGGTGGACGTGCTTGGCCCTCATGACAGGTATTTGGGGCTGTTTGCTCCTAGTGACAAGGAGGTGGTCAGTTTGCACATGGGTTTCTTTTATTTATTTATTTATTTCATTTTGGGTCAGACACAGCTATGCTCAGGGGTTACTCCTGGCTCTGCACTTAGGAATTACCCCTGGCAGTGCTCGGGGGGGACCATAGGGGATGCTGGGGATCGAACCCAGGTCAACCGTGTGCAAGGCAAATGCTCTACCTGCTGTACTATCACTCCAGCCCCTGCACATGGGTTTTAAGAGAGCCCAGGGACTGGAGCCATAGCACAGTGGGTAGGGCGTTTGCCTTGCACATGGCCAACCCAGGTTTGATTCCCAGCATCCCCTATGGTACCCCCTGAGTACTGCCAGGAGTAATTTGCTGACTGCAAAACCAGAAGTAACCCCTGTGCATTGCTGAGAGTGACCAAAAAAAGCCAAAAAAAGAAAAAAAAGAAAAGAGAGTGCGGGGGAGGGGGGGTGGTGAGGGTCAACTGTGGCCTGCCTGCTCAGAGTTAGGGCAGGGCAGGGTGCACCCAGGGCTGCACCAGGAGACCTTCAGGCTTCCGAGCCTCCGAAAGCCCTGAGTTAACTGTGGCCAAAGTCCTTCACCAACCAACCGCTGCTATTTGCAAGAGCCAGAGGTGACCCCCAAGGCAGTTCCTTCCTCCCAGGATTCTCTGGGCCTCACACAACCTTTCCCTTCCCTCGGGGTTCTTCCCGGGTGGGCTGGGCGCAGCACCCCTCTGAGATGGCTTCCCAATTTTCTCTGTCCCATCTGAGACGCCTGATTCTTTTTCTCATCAACTCTACACACTGGTGCTTAACTGTGGCCACATTCTGTTCCCTCTCGTGGGGAGCGTCACTGCTACCAGGGCCATCATCTCCTTCGGGAGTGCGGGAGGGAGAAGTGAGAAACGGGAACGTGGAGCTCCTTGTTCAAAAAGAATGCACGGGGGCCGGAGCAATAGTGCAGCGGGTAGGGTGTTTGCCTTACACGCTGCTGACCCAGGTTTAATTTCCGGTACCCTGTATGGTCCTCCAAGCACCGCCAGGAGTAATGAGTATGAGCATTGCTGGGTGTGACCCCAAAAAGCATAAAAAAAAAGGGAACAAAAAGGATGCACGTCAGCACTCTTTACAATAGCCAGAATCTGGAAAAAACCTGAGTGCCCGAGAACAGATGACTGGTTAAAGAAACTTTGGTACATTTACACAATGGAGTACTATGTAGCTGTTAGAAAAGAGGAAGTCATGAAATTTACATACGAGTGGTACTACATGGAAAGATCATGTTAAGCGAAATGACTCAGAAAGAAAGGGATAGACATAGAAAGATTGCATTCATCTGGGGAACATAAAGTAACAAAATAGGAGACTAACACCCAAGAATGGCTGAGATTAGTACCAGGAATTTTACTCCATGGCGTGGAGGCCAACCACACATGCTAGGAGAAAAGGGAGCTCAGATAGAGAAGGGAACACCAAATAAAGGTGTTGGGAGGATCCTACCAGGATGGGAGAAGCATGCTGAAAGTAGACTATAGACCAAACATGATTGTCACCCATTGTCACCCCGGCCCCTGCCCGGTGTGATCCCACAACACCCAAAAGGAGAGAGAGAGAACAGAAGGGAATGCCCTGCCACAGAGGCAGGGTGGGATGGGGGGGATGGGGGGTCGGAGGGATACTGGGATCCGTGGTGGTGGGAAATGGGCACTGGTAGAGGGATGGGTATTTGATCATTATATAATTGAAACCCAAAAACAAAAATTTGTAAGTCTACAAATGTACCTCATGATGTCTCACTAAAAAAAATTAAAAAAAAGGGTGCAGAGGGGAAGCACATAGAGCAGGGAGCTTGCCTAGCAGAAGAACCCAGCTCAAGTTCCATCTCTGGCATCCCCTACACTTCCCCCGGCCCCTGCCTGGTGCTGGTGTGATCCCTGAACACAGAGTCAGGAGTAATCACCCAGCACTGCCAGGTGCAGTCCCAACACAGAACCGAAAAAAAAAAAAAAAAGGATGAAGGTCTTCAGGATGCTGATGGCGGAGCACTGAGCCAAGTGTGTGGGGCCCTCCAGGCACAGTGGCCTTGGGCGATAGCCCGGGGCTGTCTTTCTTTCTTTCTTTCTTTCTTTCTTTCTTTCTTTCTTTCTTTCTTTCTTCCTTTTGCTTTTTGGGTCACACCCAGCAATACACCGGGGTTACTCCTGGCTCATGCACTCAGGAATTACTCCTGTGGTGCTCGGGGGACCATAAAGGATGCTGGGAATCGAACCCAGGTCAGCCGTGTGCGCAGCAAATGCCCTACCCGCTGTGCTATCACTCCAGCACCCATCCCGGGACTTTAAACGAACACCTTCAGACTCAGTGTTTCTCTTGACGTTCAGCTCTGCATCGCTAAAGAGACGTCGCAGCTTCAGTGCCAACATCTCACTGCTTCCCTCGGGAGGCTCAGGGGCATCAGCCAGGCCTGGGCACCGGGGTGCCGGCAACCTGTCGTGGCCCTTCCTTCCCTCCTGCTCTTCCTAATCCTCCCCATGAGTCTCTGCGTGAGCTGACCAAGGTCCCTCCACTGGCCGCTGGGCCCCGGGCCCACAGCAGCTCTCTCCTGGGCATCTCTGGCTATGCCCACACGGTTTCCTGCTGCCCGCTGTCTCCTTTCCAAGTCATCCTCCAGTGAGTTTTCAAGACTGTGCATCTGACACCTCACAACCTGCTGGGGATCCTTCCAAGTCTTTTCCTGGCCTCACTGGTCATGTCCCAGCATCTTTTATTTTTCTTTTTGGGTCACGCCCAGCGATGCTCAGACGTTACTCATGGCTCTGCGCTCAGGAATTACTCCTGGCGGTGCTCAGGGGACCATATGGGATGCCGGGGATCGAACCCAGGTTGGCTGCGTGCAAGGCAAACGCCCTACCCGCTGAATTATTACTCCAGCCCTTGTCCCGGCATCTTTGCAGGCAGTTTCATCCCCTTTTCCGTGGCTCCGAGCTCTGCGAAGACAGGATTGTGTCTGACCCCAACCCTTGCTGGGGGGCTCCCTTCGGAGGTCATTTCTTCCCTCTGCCTCCCGGAATTGCCCCTGGTGGGGTTCTCCGGGCCCAGCCTCATCTTTTCCAGAGCAATGACGTCATCCACTCTTCTTTCTCCCTCTCCCACAGGGATTGCTCCTGGTGCCTTAGTGCTGTGGTTCCCCCCCCACCCTCCCAGTCCAGTTCGGCTGCCACCGGGGTCAGGGGTCAGCAGATGCTCGTCAACAGCAAGTTACTTACTTGTTGAAGTGTTCCAAGAAGATGAGGCTGGTGGAGGTGCCGATGATGGTGGTGAGGCCCCCAATGGTGGCAGCGTAAGAGATGCTCAGAGACAGGCACTTGCAGATCATCTGGTCATGCTGGGACTTGTACTTCCTGTGGCCTTCCTGGGGCCTGGCGCTGGAGGTCAGCGTGCCTGGTTTTGCCTGCCAGAGGAAAGTCAGTGAGAGTCTCGCATGTAGCTGCCAGCACGCAGAGCCCCCGAGATGGGCACTGAGGGCCGTGGCCTGGTCCTGAACTTGGGTGTGTCCGAAAGAAGAATCCCTGCCCCAGTTCTACCCTTTACCAAACAGGGCAGCCCTTTCTGAGCTGCAGCTGCTTCCTTAAAGGGGCAAAGTCCTCTTTTCTCTGCCAGACTGTTGTGAAGTAATGCACCTGAAGCCCAGAGGGTAGGGCATTTGCCTTGCACATGGCCAACCCAGGTTCGATTCTTCCATCCTTCTCGGAGAGCCCGGCAAGCTACCGGGCTTGCTGTCCACACAGCAGAGACTGGCAAGCTCCCCATGGCGTATTCGATATGCCAAAAATAGTAACAAGTCAACGGTCCTGCCGTTGTTCATCGATTTGCTCGAGCGGGCCCAGTAACGTCTCCATCATGAGACTTGTTACTGTGTTTGGCATATCGAGTACGGCACGGGTAGCTTGCCAGGCTCTGCTGTGCGGGCAAGATACTCTCTGTAGCTTGCCGGGCTCTCCGAGAGGGGCGAAGGAATCGAACTCGGGTCGGCCATGTTGGCTGCATGCAAGGCAAACACCCTACCGCTATGCTATCGCTCCAGCCCAAAAAGTCAACAAGTCAAAAAAATTAATAAAAAATATAAAAAAAAGAGTAACAAGTCTCACAATGGAGACGTTACTGGTGCCCACTCGAGCAAATCAATGAACAATGGGAGGGCAGTGCTGCAGTGCTACAGTGCTACTTAATAAAATAAGGAGGTATTAGTGCCTCTGTTATTAATGTTGTTAATATTGGCAGTATATTCTACATTTGACTTGAATCCCAGCAAAAATTATAAATATGTATATATAAATGTATATGTGTGTGTGTATGTGTGTGTGTGTGTGTGTGTGTGTATTTCAACCCCTCTTCCCCCAGTGGTAGTGGGATTTGAGCCATACCAAGCTGTGCTCAGGCCTTAATCCTGACTCTGAGCTCAGGGATCACTCCTCCTTGCAGTGCTCAGGGGACCATAGGCAGTGTTGGAATTGAATTGCAGTTGGCAAGTGCACTTAACCTCAGCACTATCTCTTTGACCATTTGTTCTGTTTTTGGTTTTGTTTGTTTGTTTTTGGCCTTTTGGGTCATACCTAGTGATGCTCAGGGGTTATTCCTGGCTCTGCACTCAGGAATTACTCCTGGTGGTAATTTGGGGGACATATGGGATGCCAGGGATCGAACCCGGGTTGGCCGCGTGCAAGGCAAATGCCCTCCCCACTGTGCTATCGCTCCGGTCCCCTTGTTTTGCTTTGTTCTTGGGTCATATCCCTGGAGCTTGGGGGCTGCCTCCAGTTCAATGTTCAGGGGTTCCTCCTGGCAGTGCCCAGAGAAACATACAGTGCTGGGGAGCGAATCCTGGGCCTCACACATATGAACCCCACTCCTCTCCCTTTGAACTCCATCCAGCCCACACTCCTACTTTAGTCTGTCCTTTGTTTTCGTAGGAGAGTCGCTGGAATATCCTTATTTGCACAGAAAAGTTTGCCTTCAAGTCTCAGAATGCTCACGGGGCTGCAGAGATAGTCTGGTGGGTAGAGTGTTTGCCTTGCTGATCCAGATTCATATCCCATATGGTACCATATGGTCCCCTAAGCACACCAGGAGTGATTACTGAGCACTGTCAAATGTGACCCCAAACAAAACCAAATTTCGGGATGAGCAAATAAAATATTCGCCATCAAACACAGTAACAACAAAGTCTCCAATGGAGACGTTACTGGGCCCGCTCGAGCAAAATCGACGATCAACGGGAGGGCCTTTACCTTTACCTTTACCAGAGGAGCAGTTTGAACACCTCCGAGTCAGACCAAGCCTCAGTTTTTAACCTTCCCCCTCCCCCCTTTCCAGTTTTTGGGCCACACCTGACAGTACTCAGGGCTAGCTCCTGACTTTATGCTCAGGGATCATTCCTGGACAGGTTTGGGGACCCTATGGCAGGTCATCTGTGTGCAAGGCAAGTGCTTTAACCCCAGGTCTATCTGTCCAGTCCAAGCCTCAGCTCCTGGAGATGAAAAAATGGGCCTCAGAGGCTGGATGACTTGCTGATGTCCCCAGTGAGCTGGAGTTTTATCTCACGGGCACAGACAGGCCAGACATGCTGGTGGATAAAGAAGCCACGGCAGAAAACGTGAGTGAGTGTGTGTGTGTGTGTGTGTGTGTGTGTGTGTGTGTGTGTGTGTGTGTTGGCAAGCGCGGGTGCCTTACCAGGCCTGGGAGCTGCTTCCTGCCTTGGAGACTGGTGGTCCTGACTGGGCTGGTGACAGTGGACACTCCGTTCAGGTTCTGCCGGGACAAAGACTGTTAGTGTCAGGAGGAGAATGTGGGTCTGGAAACGCCCCAGGCCTCAGCTCTCATTATGGAGAATGTGACTTTCCAGACCTGTGTAAGCTAAAGAAGCTCTTTGTCCTGTTGCTTTGTTGTCCTTTAAACCCAGAGGCAAAAGGGCTGAGAGCAACCAACAGCACAGCGGGTAGGGCGGGAGTTTGCCAGGAGGGTGGCCATGTGCATGCAGCTGACCCAGATTCAATCCCCCCTCTGGTCCCCCGAGCACCACCAGGAGTGATTCCTAAATGCAGAGCACTGCCAGGTGTGATCCCAAACCAAACCAGCCATCCAACCAACCAACCAACCAACCAAGCAACCAAGCAACCAACCAACCACTACAAAAATGTAGAGGAAATGAAAAGAAGCATCTCCCATAACAGGGCACATCATCTAGATAGATCCAAACTTTTCCGTTTGGACCCACGTAAGAGCCCAGAGCAGTGTGGGGGCAGGTGGGGTATGGTCCAGGAGCAGTACACAGATGAACTGACTTTCCCCTTCCCTGGGGTCCCTTGGAACTGTGCCTTAGAGGTTCACCTGGCTGTGCTCAGGCCTTACTCCTGGTCCCGTGCTGGGGAGTCACAACGGGCAGTGCTCGGGGGACCACCCAAGGTTCCAGGAATCAAAACTGGGGTGCACGAGATACCAGGCAAGTGCCTTAATCTCTGCCCTACTCCGCTGGCCCCTCAAGGGGCCCCTGTAACAAAGATTTTTGTGAATGGAAGCCCTGGGCAGCTGTCCTTGGGAAAGTCTGGGTCTCCCAGGAGCACCTGACTCAGGACTGGGCCTCGGTCTGTCTGTCACCCAGCAGCGACTGTTGCCCAGAGGGACTTTCAGGGGACTCAGAGCACAGAGAAGCCCAAGATCGTACCTTGTTCTGCACCAGTGACGTGAGGTCTGCAGTGGATGTGCTGGAATGAAGCAAAGGGAATGAGTGGAGGGGCAGAGTCCACACAGGCGGGAGCTTCCCCTCCCTTGTCTGCAGGCCGGGAGACTGAGGAGCAGGGGGACAGGAGCCTGTGCCCTCCTCGTGTTCAGACAGCGCTTCCTGCATCAAGCCAGAGGCTCCTTCTGGCTGACATTGCCAGCTGTTTCCATAGGGCACTGTGGACACCTCCCCTCACTGCACCACTCTTCCCGCCCCTTCTCAGCTGCCCTGCCCCTTCTCAGTCTTCAGAGTGGGGAGGCTGGGCTGCCCGCAGTGCCCAGTGCTGAGTGCTGTGGCCTGGGCCACACTCTGACCTGCTCACGGGGCCAAGGCCACTCTCTCTTGAGTGAATGTAATGATGCAGTGTGGAGTCAGTGGGGTGACACAGTGTGGAGTGATGCAGTGATATAGTGTGGAGTGAGTGCAGTGACGCAATGTGGAGTGCAGTGACACAGAATAGAGTGAGTACAGTGACACAGTGTAGAGTGAGTGTGATGAAGCAGTGTGGAGTGAGTGCAGTGATGCAGTGTGGAGTGAGTGCAGTGACACATTGTAGCGTGAGTGTGATGATGCAGTGTGGAGTGAGTGCAGTGACGCAGTGTGGAGTGATGCAGTAACAGTGTGGAATGAGTGCAGTGATGCAGTGTGGAGTGAGTGCAGTGATACAGTGTGGAATGAGTGCAGTGACGCAGTGTGGAGTGAATGCAGTGATGCAGTATGGAGTGCAGTGACACAGAATGGAGTGAGTACAGTGACGCAGTGTAGAGTGAGTATGATGATGCAGTCTGGAGTGAGTGCAGTGATGCATTCCACACCGTGTCACTGCACACCATACTGTATCACTGCATGTACTCCACACTGCGTTTGGGGGGCACCACCAAACAGCTGGTGACACAGACTCTGCAGAGAGAACTTGTTCTTGGCATGGGGTGAAGGGAGGTGGTCACCTGCATGCTGAACACCATATCTCCCTTCTGGGTCTCTCCCTCACTCCCTGTCTTCTGATTCCCCTGACCCACTGCCACTTGCCACCTAATTGTCTCTGTACCTGGGACAAGACCAAGCCTTGTAAAACCATCCATCTCTAAGAGCCAGGATACAGCCTGGGGTGCTCCTAAGATTCTCCAGTGACTTCTGCCATGTGAAAAGTTTCCACTGACAGACACGGGCTCCCCCTACTAGGGATATTCTTGTAGAGGGAACTCTATGGGGGAAGTGTTGGATAATTAGATTGGGTGTTGCCTTGTTCTCTCCTCTCTCATCACTCTCCGTGATGTGGGGAGCTGTTCTCAAGATCCTGGCCAAAGGGAGGAGAAGTCAAGGCAGGGGGAGGTGTTGCAAGATGATGCCTTTGGGGGCTGGAGCAATAGCACAGCGTTTGCCTTGTACGGGGCGACCCAGGTTTGATACCCAGCATCCCGTATGGTCCCCTGAGCACCGCCAGGGTAATTCCTGAGTGCAGAGACAGAAGTAACCCCTGTGCATCGCCAAAAAGCAAAACAAAAAACAAACAACAACAACAAAGATGATGCCTTTGGCCGTCTAAGGAGTTGAAGGCTCCAGCCTTCCCTTTCTGGGATCGCAGCATTAGCACAGTGGGTAGGGCCTTTGCCTTGCATTTGCTGATCTGGGTTTTCTTCCCGGCATCCCATATAGTCCCCTGAGCACTGCTAGGAGTAATTCTTGAGTGCAGATTCCTGAGTGCAGATCCAGGAATTACTCCTAAGCATCACTGGGTGTGACCCCACCCCCTAAAAAAAAATCCATCCCCAGTGTCTCGAGGGGCTGCAGAGAGGCTGTCTGAGCCGGGGGACGGGTATACTCACTTTTCGTTGACAAAGATCAGCTCCAGAGAGGGCTGGCTGGTGTTCACTGTGAGACCTAGAGTAGCAAGAGAGAGCAGCACCTGAGAAGCTGGTTCCCTAGAGTGGGGGCTCAGGGCTGGTGCTCCCTGGGGAAGCCAAGGCCCGGTGGGTGCCGGCACGTCCTTCCCATGCTCTGAAGGTGCCTGGTGGGTCTATGGGTGCACACCCAGGCCTTGGGGTGGTGGTGGCCATAACCCTTGTGCTTTGTAGGGGGGAGGAGGTTCAGGATCCAGACACTGCGGGTGGGCTCGAGGGGAGGGGAGCAGAAGAGTAGGGACAGCGGGGAGGGTGCTCAAGGCCGGTGGGCCCCAAGAGGACAGTGGAGGAGCAAAGGGCAGTGAACCACAGCCAATGGTACTGATGGGTTCGGCCTCTTCAGCGCTGGAGTCCTCCGCCCCGAGCTGGTCCTCGTCGGCCCCAACCAGCTCCTGTAGCACGGCCTCCACAATGGGCATGACCATGGCGGTGGTGGACGTGTTGGACAGCCACATGGACAGCAGCGTGGTACAGCACATGAAGCAGAGGAGCAGCCTGCAAGGGGTGGGGTGGGGGGCGGTAGTAGAGTGTGGGCAAGCCACGCCCCCGGGGGTCCTGTCCTGCACCCCCAAACCCTACCAGGCCAGCTCAAGGACCACAGCTAACATTCGCTCAGAAAACGGGTGAGATTCCAGGCTGACCTCCATAGGCTGGGGAGGAGCCTCATGCGTGAGTGAATCTGCTGAAAAACCCAGGTATGAGGGCTTTGTAACCAAAATCTCCAGGATCTCACAGAGTCAGGGATGGGCAACCTTCCCCCATCCCCCTGTTCTTCTGGGATCCTGGTAGCATGCCCATGAACTGCCTCTGGCACCATATAAGCTCACTAACTGGTCATGATCCAGAGACTCACAAATAAATCTCGGAAGAGATCAACACGCTGTAGAGATGCCTTCACACCCCCAAAGTCACCATCCAGTTAAAATATTTTTTTTTCTTTTTTGGGTCACACCCGGTGACACACAGGGGTTACTCCTGGCAGTGCTCAGGGGACCATATGGGATGCTAGGAATCGAACCCGGGTTGGCCACGTGCAAGGCAAACACCCTACCCACTCTAGCGCCCCCCCCCCCCCCCCCCCAGTTAAAAATTTAACTCTGGCTGCATCATCCTATTTAAAGTGTTAGAATTCCTGGAGCATGACATCTCATACCCTACACCACTGATATACCAGGAATAGCACACCACATTGAATGGGATTTAAAGTAGAAGGCAATCCATCTCGATTAAAAAAAAATATTAGCACACAAGACTCACCCTGTAAACAACATGTTAGTAATCTCTTACACGAGGGCTTAATCGCTCCAGGGTAAGACACAACAATCTCCACATACCTTCTTGTAAGGAAAATTTGGGGGATCATTTTTAGCAAATTATGTGTAACAAGCAAAATAAAGCATTATTTAGGGCCTGCTATTGGAGCAGGCTTGGGTGGTTTAGGAAAAATTCAAAGTAGTGGTGGTGGGAAGGTGTAGGGGTGATAAGATTGGTATTGGAACAGTGAGTGTAATAAATTGTTGTGAACAACTTTATATAAATGACATTTTAAAAAAAGAAAAGGAAATGGGCGAGATAAGTATGTCATGCCGGGGCTATGTAGCAGTGCACTCCTAGGACTTGGGGCCACACCTGTCAGTGTCAGGGCTTGCTGTTAACTCTTCACTCAGAGATCACCCCTGGCAGGCTCCAGGGATCCGATGGTACACCAAGGATCGAGCCTGGGTTGTCTGCATGCAAGGCAAGTGCCTGCCCTCTGTGCTCTAACTCCGGCCCTGGAGGCTCCTATATTTGTTCAGTGAACAGACCATCCTACTGGCTGGGCACAGAATCACACGGCTTCAGCAGAGACCAGCTCTGGTGGTCACTCCCAGGCAGAACGCCCTGGTCAGCCGCTCAGTCCTCCTTGTGGACAATAGCTCAGTGATTCTATGTTTTGTGACTGAGAATTATTATTTTTCATTTTTTCTTGTAGCCTGAAAGTTTATGAATACTCTTACATTTCATTTCTTTTATTATTTTTTTTGGGGGGGAGGGGGGCGAACACATCCATCAGTACTCAGGAGTTTTTACTTTTGCTTTTTTGTTCTCTTTTTATTTTTGGGTCACACCCGGCGATGCTCAGGCGTTACTCCTGACTCTGCACTCAGGAATTACTCCTGGAGGTGCTTGGGAGACCACATAGAATACTGGGAATCGAACCCGGGTTGGCTGTGTGCCAGGCAAACGCCCTACCCGCTGTGCTATCGCTCCAGCCCCAGGAGTTCTTACTTTGGGGTCTATATTGGGGATCACTCCTGTTGGTGTTCAGAAAATCATCTGGGGGGTTGCTGGGCATCTAACGGGGGTTGGTTGTGTGCAAGGCAAGTGCTTTATCCCTGTGCTATCTCTCGGATTCCTACCATTACATTCCTTGCGTTGGAGCCAAGTCACCCTCGTGACTAGCGACAAGTATGGAGCTCACGGTTCTCCCTGTGGCTCTCTGTTGTCTGCCCCCTAAGAGGACAGTCTCCTCCAAGTCACTCAGGAAGCCGCAGGTCACTGTGCACTGTGTCCTGAAGGATTCAAGTTTGCCCACTGATGATGTTCTTTCTCATGGGCACTGAAAATATGCCACGTGTGCTTCTGCAGATATGGGCCTCATGTGCTGATATCAGGACATGCCAACACGGTCCCTATCTACTGCTTCCAGTGGGGTCTGCTGGTTTTAACAACTTGGGGGGCTGCATAGGTATCACAGAGACTGTCTGGGGCTGGCTCCTGTCCAGGTGTGGGTTGGTGTAGGCTGAGAGCGGAATGAATTTGCCTGCCCTGGATTCACAGTGGCCAGTGGGGACTCTCTGAGGCACAAGAATGTGAGGTCCATTGAGGCAGAGAGCACACAGCCCCCTTCCCAGGCTGAACTGCCTGCATGCCTAGGAGGTGGGGTGTGGGTGGTGACTGCATGAGGGGTGAACTGTGCCCAAAGAAGCTGTAATGTCCCAGCAGACACATTTAAAGCATATCTTGATGTTGAAAGCAAATGCCACAGTATTTAGACTCTGTGACTCCCAAAGTATTCAGGGCTACAAAATGGTGTAAACAGCAGGATGTCTGTGGGGAGATAAAGGCAGAGACCTTTAGGAGCAGGAGGGAGTCTTCTCCACTCTGCCAAGTGGGTCTCTCTGCATGGTGCCTGGGGCTGTGGCCCAGGGCAGGTCTTGCCTAGGGTCCTGGGGTCCTGGGGTCCAAGGCAGCACCTGCCTCTCACTGCGCCTGAACCTATAAGAATAAAAACTCAGGATGGCAGAAAGCATCATCTCTCTAAGGATGAAGGAAAAGATGCCCCTTTCACTGTCCAGGCTCTGTTCCTCAATATAGCAGAAAAAATTCAGGCAATAATGTACACAGGTGTGTGTGTGTGTGTGTGTGTGTGTGTGTGTGTGTGTGTGTGTTAGGACAGTGGGGTAGAGTGCTTGCTTGGAACATAGCCCACCCAAGTTAGAGCCCTGGTACACCCTGGAGTCCCTCAAGCCTGCCAGGAGTCAGCCCTGAGTACAGACAGGTGTGGCCCCCAAACCCTGAGTTGCAGAGCCAGGAGTCAGTCCTGAGCACCAGCAGTGTACAGGGGTCCCTCCTCTCTGATCTAAACGGGCACTGGTGTAAACTGGCCACCCAGGGGATGCCCATACCAGGTCCACACTCCCTATCTCTACTGCGCGGCCACGAGCCCCTTGATGCTGGGACCACCTGCGCCGGAACCGAGAAAGGCGGACTGAGGTGGGCAGCGCTCTGCTCCCCTTCGGAGATGCATATTGGGGGTTGCCCACTGTGGCTGGGTGCCCACGCATGTGACTTACATGCCCGGTTTGGCTCCGGCCATTATGACCATGCGCAGGGCAATGCGCTTATGCAGGTTCCATTTCTCCACGGCTGCCGCCACGCAGATGACGCCCACCAGCAGCAGCGTTGTATTCTTGAAGTACTCGGCCGCCACCTGCGGAAGACAGGCCTGTCAATCCCGCAGGGAGCCCAGGGAGTGGCCGTTGCCCACGCCCATCACCGAGGGGCCGAACGAAAAATAGGCGACTGTATGCACCAGTCTGTTCTGAATATTTAAATATATGAAATAGATTTTAATTTATTAAAATACAGTTTAATACATCATCAAAATAGAATTTAATCATTAAATGATAACCATCAAATCATTAATATATGAGTTAATTATTAAAACATGATAGATTAAAAATATTTACATATTTTAATAAAACACAAATACGTAATATATCACACTATACTTATAAATAACTAGCCCGCTCGAGCAAATCGACGATCAATGGGAGAGCCTTTACCTTTACCTTACCTTTACTTTATCAACAAGTTTATAAATATATCACTATATCAACAAAACATTCAATTTATGTGTAACGTAATATAACTTTATATCCTATACAATACACTATGTACTATTTAATTACATATCACAATATATTGTTCTATATCATATTTTAGTGCTATCAATATATTGAATACATAGTAATATATTAATAAAATAATGTGTTTATTATATTTAACATACAGCATATACCTCTTTTATATAATACTATATAAGGAAGTACTCAGCTTAAGCACTTTACAAAGTGTATTTCACTAATTCACCTAGTTACCCCAGAGAGTATTCTCTTCAACTTTTAAAAATATATAATTTTTTATCACATGGATATAATTTCAATGAATAAACAGAGCTAGAATTTTATATCAATCCTAAAAAATTAGGATAACCTCAAATCTCTGTTTTTTAAAATGTTGTTTTGGGGACCACTCCTGCTAGTGCTTGGGGGTGCTCCCACCCTGTGTCCCAGTGTCCCTCCTCCTGGCAGTGCTCAGGAAACCATGGTAGTGTGGTGCTGGGGATCGGCCTAGGCTCTCCTGCAAGCTAAGCCTGCACTCAGTCCACTGAAGTCTCTCTCTGGTCCCCAAAAGGGATTTTTGTGGGTATTGGACCACTGGATGATGCTCAAGGGTTCCTCCTGTCCTTGCACTTATGGGCCACTGGTGGGGTGGCCATAATATAGTGCTGGAGATTTAAGCTGGGTTGGCAAGGGCAAGCCCCCCCTCCAACCCTGTGCTATCTCTCTGGCCCCTCAAAAAACATCTTTTAATGTTTCTTTTCTTTCAGCTTTTTTCGGAAATAATGTGCATTTTTATTAGAAAACAAATGCATGCTCACCATGGAAAACTCCAGGATATAGAAACTCTTAAAGACAAGATTTATCCTTCATCCTACTACTATAATATATACTTTGATATATATTTGATATATTTTCTTTAGTTAGATCCTTCCCCCCCAAACCATTATACCCTGTCATTTTTTTTCTTTTTGGGTCACACCTGGCGATGCACAGGGGTTACTCCTGGCTCTGCACTCAGGAATTAGCCCTGGTGGTGCTCAGGGGACCATATGGGTTGCTGGGAATTGAACCCGGGTCAGCCGTGTGCAAGGCAAATGCCCTACACGCTGTACTATCACTCCAGCCCCTACCCTGTCATTTTTATTATGAGAAAATTATTGGGAAAATGCATGTTGGTAGCAGCACAACATACCATTAGAATTTTAGTCATTTTTCTTTGATTGACTAGTCAGCTTTTTAAATTTTTTATCTATTAAAATGGAGCTAACAACAGCTTAATGCTTCCATTCAAAGCCACCTACGAATTTGATGATTCCCTTAGAATATAGTTCTCAGAGACTTTCATAACTTGCCTTAAAACTTAAACGATTAAAAATAAATAACTCTAAAGTACCGAAGAGTCTCTGAGTATAGAGTCAGGCGTGTATGAGGGCCTGAGTTAGATCCCCTACACCGCATGCTCCTGAGCACTGTAAAAGTGATCTGACCCCACACGTCCAAGTCATTCCCAGGAATGCTAGGGAGGCCTCCTTGAAGTCATTTTTTTTGTTGTTTGTTTGCTTTTGAGCTACACTTGGTGATGCTCAGAGCTTACTTCTGGCTCTCTGTTCAGGGAAGTAGGGATTGAATTCAGGTCAACCGCATGCAAAGAAGCACTTACCTTCTGTACTGCTTCTGCAGTGTCTAGAAGTTACTTTTTTAATTAAAAATATTTAATTAACAGCTACATAGTACTCCCAAGAATAGCTGAGATAAGTACCAGGAGGTTTACTTCATAGCTTGGAGGCCAGCCACACACACTAGGGGAAAAGGCAACTCAGATAGAGAAGGGAGCACCAAATAAAGGGTGTTGGGAGGATCCTCCCAGGATGGGAGATGCATGCTGAAAGTAGACTATAGACCAAATATGACTGCCACTCAATGCCTCTTTCGCAAACCACAGCACTCAAAAGGAGAGAGAGAAGAAAAGGGCACAGAGGCAGGGCGTGATGGGGGGATGGGAGGTGGGAGGGATACTGGGACTGGTAGTGGTGGAGAATGGGCACTGGTGGAGGGATGGGTACTCGATCATTGTATAACTGAAACCTAAGCACAAAAATTTGTAAGTCTACAACTGTACCCCATGGTGTTTCACTACTAAAATTTTTTAAAAAATTTAATTAATTTTAACCCTTTTTATCAAGGGACTGGAATTTATAGTACTGTTTATTGTACTTTTCTTTTTTCTTTCTTTTCTTTCTTTTTTTGGCTTTTTGGGTCATACCCGGCGATGCACAGGGGTTACTCCTGGCTTTGGCTTTGCACTCAGGAATTACCTCTGGCCGTGCTCGGGGGACCATATGGGATGCTGGGAATCAAACCCAGGTCGGCCGTGTGCAAGGCAAACCCTGTACCCACTGTGCTATTGCTCCAGTTCCTAATTGTACTTTTCATGTATATATCACCCCCCCACCAATGACACCTATCACCAGAGCCGCTTCCGTCCACCAGTGTCCCAAGGAGCTCTCCCACTCCTAACCCCATGTAAGCTCAGTTCTTTAGTCTCCAGTTCCTGTGGCTTTGGCCATTTGCTGTCCCCTTACTGTGTTTCTTTTTTTAAATCACACTTGTGGGACTCTGCTTACTCCTCTCTTTTGCTGCGGAGTGGCAGCACCTACATATATACAGATAAATGGAACCTAGCTCCTGAAATCCCACAAAATTGTAAGTCAATGATAAGTTAATAAACTAAATTTTCCCCCAGCACTTATATTCTTTAAAATCTTTTTTTAGGGCTGTAGAGAGCTCAAAGAACTGAAAAACAGGCTTCCCTGATGGGAGATTCAGGTCCCCGACACCAAAGGGTGCCCCTGAGCAGAAAGCGACCCTCAAGTGGCCTCAAAGAACCAACAGGTCCTGGAAATAAACAACAACAATTCCTTAATATTAAAAACAACCAGAGAGGGCTGGAGCAATAGCACTGCAGGTAGGGTGTTTGCCTTGCATGTGGCCGACCCGGATTTGATTCCCAGCATCCCATATGGCCCCCTGAGCACCGCCAGGGGTGATTCCTGAGTGCAGAACCAGGAGTAACCGTGTGCATTGCCAGGTGTGATCCAAAAAGAAAAAAAAAACAGCCAGAGCAATAACTCAATGTCTCCAAAAGTGATATTCTAGAAACTCCTCCCTAACAGTGTCCTGATACATACCCCTGAATGCTCCCAATCCCAGGAAGATCAACTGGGGGCTGGAGTGATAGTACAGCAACTAGGGAGCTTACCTAGCATATGGTTGACCTGGGTTCGATCCTAGGCATCACATGTGGTGATGGAACATGTGGTCCCCTGATCATATCCCACCAAGAATAATTCCTGAGTGTAGAGCCAGGAGTAACCCCTTGAGCATTGCTGAGTGTGGCCCCAAACAAACAAACAAAAAACCCTACTTTTAACTGCCAGAAGAATAATATTTGATCAGGGAAGGAATTGTACCATGAGATATGTCTCTTTTGAAGTAAACTATGTAGGAGACGGTCAGACGGTCATGGTCCTCCCGTTGTTCATCGATTTTCTTGAGCTGGCCCAGTAACATCTCCATTGGAGACTTTGTTGTTACTGTGTTTGGCATATTGAATACATCACGGGTAGCTTGCCAGGCTTTGCCGTGCGGGTGAGATATTCTCGGTAGCTTGCTGGGCTCTCCGAGAGGGGCGGAGGAATCGAACTTGGGTTGGCCATGTTGGCTGTGTGCAAGGCAAATGCCCTACCGCTGTGCTATCGCTCCAGCCTATGTAGGAGAATTTTTTCAATTATGATACTGTGACAAAAACTAAGAGGAGAAGATAGAAAACATCTTATATATCTTATTAGAAACCCTCCTAAACTGAGAATACAGGACCACACTTTTTTAGCAGAATGCGGGGTGGGGGGGGCAGGGTCCCTTTCCTTTCTCAGCCAACCAGGAGGTAGGATTCAGTGCTGGGGTGGGGATTCGACCTGGTGCAGTGCTGCTCAGACTCTACACTGCAGAGAACCCACCAGACTCTCTGGGTCTGCAGCACTCTATGGTCTACGGTTCCAGGGTTGGGATTCAGGTCGGTGCATGCCAGGTGAAGCCTGGCTGAGCAACAGTGGTACCATCTAGGCTTTATGTCACCAGACCTCTAAGATGTTCAAGCAACGATGGGCTCACCCATGACACATTTCCCAGAATCCCCCTGGCTAAGGGATGCCTCTTCAAATGGGGGGAGATTTGCAGCCTCTTGGGAAATGCACCTTTTTTTTTTAAGTTTGTTATACTCATCTGAAAAACTCTGCATCAAAATCTCTAGACTCTAGGCTGGTAATATGACCTCATTTAGTGTGGCCAATCTTGTTTTATTCTGGGGTTAGGAAGATCCTGAGAAAAGGGCCATTGTCCAGGGCTCTGGAGCTGATGGAACCAAAGAGATGTCTTCAAAGTCCCTATGTGGCAAGCTGAAAGAAATTGAAAGATAAGATCCAAGAATGATGTTTGAGCCTCATCATCTATCTCCTTAGGACAGGATATAACGAAGTCTTGGGTTGTCAGGGAGAGAGCCCTCCAGATTCTGTACTAGGGTGGGTGC